ATTTTCCCCCCTTTTACTCCTCTCCACCCAGCTGCCGTCCCACCCCAGGCCTTCACCACACTATTGTCTATGTCCTTGAGCTATACATATATACACGTAAGTTCTTTGGTTAACCAGTTCCCACCCCCCACCCCTTCCCTCTGAGATCCATCAGTCTGTTCCACACTTCCATGTCTCTGGACCTATTTTGTTCATTAGTTTATTTTTTCATTAGATTCCACACATAAGTGAGATCATGTGATATTTGTCTTTCTCTGACAAGCTTATTTTGCTTTGCTTAATAATCTCCAGTTCCATCCATGCTGTCTCAAAGGGTAAGAGATCCTTCTTTTTCGCAGCTGTATAGTATTCCACTATGTAAATGTACCACCCCTTTTTAATTCACTCATCTACTGATGGGCATTTGGGCTGATTTCTGATCTTAGCTATTGTAAATAACACTGCTATGAACATGGAGGTGCATATATTCTTTCTCAGTTGGTGTTTCGGGATTCTTAGCATATATTCCTAGAAGTGGAATTACTGGACCAAACAGCAATTCCATTTTTAATTTTCTGAGGAATCTCCATACTGTATTCCACAGTGCTTGTACCAGTCTGCATTCCCACCAGCAGTGTACTAGGGTTCCCTTTTTTCCACATCCTCGCCAGCACTTGTTGTTTGTTGACTTATTGATGGTAGCCATTCTGGCAGATATAGTTTTAATTTTCATCTCTCTGATGATTAGTGATGTTGAAAATTTTTCATATGTCTCTTGGCCGTTTGTATATCCTCTTTGGAGAAGTGTCTATTCAGGTCCCTTGCCCATTTGTTAATTGGATTGTTTGTCCTCCTTTTTATGATAAAAATTCCTAGCAAAGTGAGAATAGAGGGAACATACCTCAACATAATAAAGGTCATATATGAAAAACCTACAGCCAACATCAAACTCAGTGGGCAAAAACTAATGTAAAAACAGGAACAAGACAGGTTGTCTGCTTTCACCACTCTTATTCAACATAGTACTGGAAGTCCTGGCCACAGCACTAAAACAAGAAGAAAAAATAAAAGGCATCCAAATTGTAAAGGAGGAAGTAAAACTGTCATTATCCACAAATGGCATGATATTGTACAAAGAAAATCCTAAAGACTCCACCAAAAACTACTGTATTTGATAAATGAATTTGGCAAAGTAGCAAGATACAAAATTAATATCCAGAAATCAATGGCATTTTAATACACCAGTAATAAACTCTCTGAAAAAGAAACTAAAAAGAAAAATCCCATTTGCCACTACAACAAAAAAAAAATAAGCTACCTACGAATAAACTTGACCAAGGAGGTAAAAAACCTATACTCAGACAACTATGGGACATTAAAAAAGAAATAAAGGAAGATATAAACAAGTGGAAACATGTACCATTTTCATGAATTGGAAGAATTAACATCATTAAAATGTCCATACTACCCAAAGCAATCTATAGATTCAATGCAATCCCTACTGAAATACCATAAGCATATTTCACAGATTTAGAACAAATATTCCAGAAACTTATATGGGACCAAAAAAGACCTCAAATAGCCATAGCAATCTTGAGAAAGAAGAACAAAGTTGGAGGGATCGCAATACCAGATATACTATAGATATAGTATATAGATATACTATGATGTAGTATCAAACTATACTACAAAGTCAATGTAATCAAAATAGCCAGGTACTGGCACAAGAACAGGCATATAGATGAATGGAACAGAACCGAGACCCCAGATATAGACCCATGCCATTATGCCAATATTTGACAAGGTATCATTTATTTTTATACAATTATCACTATTCTGAATGTTAACCTTTATATAGATCAATCTCTTCCTCTTGTCCCAATCAAACGTCCCATAACACATACATGAAATTAATCTTCAAAGAGCAGAGATTTTATCATTTTAGGGACTTGTTCAATGACTATGCATTTATCTTGGCAAGATTTTAAAAATAATTTTGGCTCACTCACAGTTTTGATGAAGAAAAAATATATTTATAAAGATGATCATATATACATCTCTACAGCTATTATTTAGTAGGTTTGGAGAAAATCAGTTTGATGGAAATTTTTAAATTTCTATATTTTGAGATTTCCTTACTAGTCTATTATCCCCTCTGAAAACCTTAGAAAGTCTTCCCAAGTAGTGATGGGGGGAGATGGTTCCTGTTAGGAATCTAGTTCCTTTACATAATGCTAACTATTCATACTGTGTCAAGTTTTTTTATAATTAAACCCCAGCTATCTTTTATACTTTATACCCCATTAATCCTCTCCCCAAACTGTTGATTTCTCACCAAACAATTCCCTTTCTTACCTCTATGTTTGTTTGTTTTTCCCTATGCCATTCATTTTGCTAGAAATACCTTCCCTTCCCAATTTTAGCTAATCAAATCCTAGCCCATCTTCTAAATTCAGCTCACATGCAATCTCCATGGAGCTGACCCAGACCAGACCACTCTCTTTTGACCTCAGCCTTGCCAATATCACACTCATTAATGTATTGCTACTTTTTCTGTTATTTTTATTTTGTGTTACTTACTTTATAACTTCATTTCTCCCCAAATGAAAGAACGGTAAGTTCTTTGAGACCAGGAGCCACATGTTAGAATTGAGCATAATCTTTTGCACACATTTGATATTTAAATATATGTTGGTAGGGTAGAATACATGAGACATTATGACAGAAATTTTTAAAGTCCTGCTTAAGCATAAACAGCAGTTAGTACAATTTGACTGGCTTCTTTCAACATGAAGATAGAAGGCATTTCTGAAATCTCAAGATTAAACTGTTAGCATAACTTCTTCCCCTACAGAGGATAATTTCATTGTGAAAAATATTCTGAACAGCAATAGAATTATAAAAATAAACTATCTCAGCATTTAAGCAGGCACTTATTACAACCAGCTATATTAAATAATAATAGTGTTTGTATTTTAGCTAACAACTTATTGAGTAAATTATTCATTGTGTCCCTAATTTGGACAAGAAACCACATTAAGATCTGCTGGGAGAGAAGATGAATAAAAGACCGACCAAGTTCTCAACATTCAATATTGTATTTGATGGAAGAAACAGACTTCAAAACTTTTTACAAAACAAGTTAAATAAGCAATACAATATACCTAACCTCCTCAGTATTGTGTGTGTAATTTTGGATGGTACGGTTCAGAAACCACCTGTCTAAAAAAAAAAAAAAAGTGAAAAGTAATATTTGAACAATGTCTTGAGAGATAATTGAGAATTTGTAGATCAAGGTGGCAGAAGGGGTTATGGGATATAAGATCAGAAAATGTGAGTTTTTGACATGAAAATATACCCTCACCCCAGTGCTACTTCATGGGAAAAATAAAAGACCATTCCTCCTCTACATCTCAAAATTGTCTCTATCTTTCCCTCCTATCTTGAAAGTCACTCCACTCTTTCCCAGAGCTGAATACTCCAAATTGTTCTTGACCCTCTTGCTGCTTGTCCACTATCATATCTTGTTCCAGTACTCACCATCTCTCTTCTTCCTTTTTGTGGCCACATTTGAAAGAATGGTCTATATTTATCTCTTCTTCCTAATTCACTACGCAGTTACATAAGATTAACTGCCTCTTAACACTTTTTTATTCAGTAAAATAAAATGAAATAAGGATATACTTTCTGATTTTCTCTTTCCTTTGTTTTAAAATAAGTTAACTAGTATTTCTTTTAAGAATTTATTTGCTATGCCCTGGCCGGTTTGGCTCAGCAGTTAGAGCATCAGCCTGCGGTCCAGAGACACCTGGGTTTGGTTCCTGCTTAGGGCACGTATCTCGGTTGCAGTTTGTCCCCGACCTGGTTGGGTTGTGCATGTGGCAGCCACTCGATGTGTCCCTTTCACATCGAACTTTCTCTCTCTCTCTCTCTCTCTCTCTCTCTCTCTCTCTCTCTCCCTCCCTCCCTCCCTCCCTCCCTCCCTCCCTCCCACTCTATCTGAATAAAAAATGGAAAAATGTCCTTGGGTGAGGATAAAAAAAAAAAAAGAATTTATTTGCTATACTCAGGGAATAGAGAACGTACAGTCTCTAAATAGATTTCTCACGTCCAAAGAGTAAACTGTTAAACAGTTGAGAGTCTGTATAAGTATTTCCAGTACAGAAACTGTTATTGTAGTGATCAACGAGAATTTGAAACCTTAAACATGCTGTTCTCTCCGTGCATCTTTCCAAAGCTCAGAGCTCTTTTACAATTCTTCACATGAGAAGAATTGTACATCCTGGGAAATTTACCAAAATGGAGAATTTACCAGATTAGTTTGTCACTAGTTAATATATTAGTTAAAAATAAATATGTAACAAGAAGATTAAGTACTAAAATCTGAGATCCCAATCTCTAAACTTCAGTTCCCTCAAGATCTATAATAGAAGGATCTAATATTTACCTGGGTCTACTCTTCAGACTAAATGCAGAATCTGTGTTTTCTTTACAAATTCATACAAATTTACAAAATTCTATTCACATGCTACAGGGAGTTAAGAGGACAACGAGGAACAAAAGAAAGAGGCGAAGGAGAAGAACACAGAGTATCAAAGACAAGAGCAGATATGCAATCTAAAAGAAGTCATTTCCCTTGTTTTCCGTCATGTGTGTGAGAAAGCATATGACACCATGATTAACCATCTGATCAAAGCCAACAGTATCACAGCTTGTTCCCACTAACACACAGATTCGTGTAGTTCACAAGCTGGTCTCATACTGCCCCTGTTCTAGACACTGTGCACACTGTAGTCAAGCTGAATCTTATCAGCATTAAGTTGAGACTGATGACAGCTCTTCCTATCCCTCACCATAATTTACTACACTGCAATTTCTACTTTGCTTAGCAGGAAAATTCACTTGTTAATTTGAAAAAAAAAACAACAACACCTAATAAATAATTCTCATCACAATACATATATACATACTCCATAGGAAGGGAATTATTTCAACTGGAAATCTTATTTGTGTGTACTTACTGAGATTGTACCATTGTCTAGACCTATGGACAGTCTTCTTGTTTCCGGGTTAAAAGACATGCATGAACATGGAGCTGAAAGAAATGAACATGTTGATGAAATTAACAAAACAATGATTCTCATTGATTCAGGAGTGACTTAGTTAAAAGTGTGTGGTAATTTTTTTGGGGCCACTATTTCCTGAATAACAGTTCATTTAATTCCACTCACCAAAAATAAAAACAATAAATTTACAGCCAACCGTAGTTTTTTTTCAGTTATCCTTTTAATCAATATAACAAATAAGACATTCCCAAACTGGACAAGTTCCAAGGGGCTTGGTCTCAGCTGTTCTGTCAGTATCAAGTCTAAGTTTGCTTGACTAAATTAATATTTTGTGCTATATAATCCTTTTGTCATGAACTTATCTCTTCCATTCAAACCCCAACCTTAATAGAAATAACCTATCTTTTCTGAAGTAGGAAAACAAAAGAAAGATCTGATTTTCCCCCCTACTGGTACAGAAATCTGTTTTTTGAATCATAGTTGATATGGAGTATGAAGACTAACAGAAGTGTTTTATTCTCGGCATTCAAGGGATATGCTGGAAGCTGCTACCTGAAAAAGACTGAGGATTTGTCTCAATCTAAGAGAACCAACTTGACATAAGACCAGGTTCTACGGGAAAGAAATCAGGTCCTAGACAGGGTCTCCTGGTTCTGCAGGACTGACCTCAGCCTATGTAACCTAAGCATGTTTGGAAGCCACGTGTGGCCAAGAAGTGCTTGCTAAACAGTCCGCTTCCAGATGCCTGCCTTCTCTACCTATGCTTGCTTGTAAGAATAGAGGCTTTTTTTTTTTTAAAACAATTTGTCCTTTACTGAAATAGTTATTCTAAAAAGTCCTGCCAATTTTTTAAAATTCTGGCTCCCCTTCTCCAATTTCACAGTAGCCCTTAGATCATGAACTAGTCATCATCATAATCATAACCAGCTTCAGATAATTTTATTCCTACTTTTCACAGTTATGATTAGATATCTTACCCAAGGTTACACAGGAAGAAAAAGCTGGAGAAGTTTCAAAGACATAACTCAAACACAGTCCTATTTTCAATCCAACTTAGATTATCTTTAAACTATAAAAGAACTTCAAGTTCTACTAATAGAGCCATTTCATAAACACATCAATTAGTAGTATTTTTTTTCATTCTCTATAAAAGGGCCCTGCACAATAACAAAAAAAATCTTCTAAACTGCGTAATCACTTTTTTTCTGATTTTCAATCATGATACATTTAGAAAATAGAAACATACAAAAATACCCCACCCCCAACTTCTTTCTACTAGAACAGCAGAATATCTTTCAGCTTAGCCACAAAATTAAACTAGATTCCTAAAAGAACACTGCTGAAAAAAAGTAATCAAATGATATTTTATGCACCACCCTAAGAAAGTCTTATCTGCCCTTGGCCTATAAACGATGTTGGCAAAATTTCTACACAGATGCTAAGATGCCAGGTCTCAAATCCCATAACATGGGTAAAATTAAAATCCAATGATTTCATGGGAAATTATCACGTTAGCTGAAAACAAACAAAAAACACTGTGATTACAACTACATAAACTACATATATACATAAACTACATACACACATAAAAATAAAAATGGAAAAGCTAAACATAGTTGTGTTCAAGTGACAAGATTACTTCTATAACATTGTCTTTATTTAGTATTTTGCTATTCCTGTTATAATTTTTTTAATATACAAGCATGAAAATATAAAACAAAATCTGATTGCAGCCCAAAAGACTATGGACTGCTCAAGAATAATCTTACCACTTCGCTCTTTGCCTGACTATGTAAAAGTATCTTCTGTCTAATTCCCTCCAAAGTTCATATCTAGTTATAAAATAGAAAATCCACCGATCTTTGAATATGATTTAAAAGACATTTTTATAATATTGCACATGCTACCCTTAAATCTACATTGCTACTTCTTTATTCATTGTTTTTCCCCTATTCATGAAATTATTTGTTTTTCTGTCAAATTTAGAATGCTTACTATGTTCCAGGCATGTGATACAATGATATATAAGGTACTACAGCTGTCATTAAGGAATTTATAGATTGTGACACCAACTACACATGAGAACTATAAGACTTGTTCCCAATGTCACCTCCTTGGTTCAAATCACTTTTTATATATACATATATTTTTTAATATGTTTTTTAAAATTGATTTTTCAGAGAGAGAAGAAGGGAGAGAGAGAGAGAGAGAGAAACATCAATGTGAGAGAGAAATGTCCATGGGCTGCCTCTTGCATGCTCCCTACTGGGGATCAAGCCTGAAACCCAGGCATGTGCCCTGATCAAGAATCAAACCTGGACCTCTCAGTCCATGGAACAATACTCAATCCACTGAGCCACACTGGCCAGGCTCACTTTATATTGATAGTAAGAAATACCACCAGAATTCAAAAGGAAAAGAGCTTTCCTATAAAGGACTGTAAACAAAAGAAATTTTAATAGAAATTCTGTTGTTCTAGAACCCATATGCTTGAACACAAGATGGTTATAGACAAGGAATGCCAGAGCTAGAGGGCAGTACCTCCCAGGTATTGTCCCAAAGGGGTAAACTCCCCTTCAAAGAGGCATTATGGTAAAGCATCAAGCAAACCTCTGTGTGTGTGTGTGTGTGTGTGTGTGTGTGTGTGTGTGTGTGTAGAGAGAAAGATTTTTTGTGCATGAGCCTTATGACACTCCTCAAACCATTTCCCAACTGTGATACTCCTATTAATTGCCCATATCCCCTGTAGGGCCAAGGAGGCAGGGACTGATTGAAAAAAACATTTATGCCTTTTTGTTGTTATAGTAAATGTCTGTCCTTTTGAGGGTTGTGGGGAGTAAAGAGATTGAAACGGAGATCCTTCTAACTTCAACTCACCACAAATGATCAAAAAAGCAACCTCTGAAAGACTAGTGCTATAACCCTTACAAAATGGCTCCTATCCATCTATGCAAGAAAATATCAAAGTGGCAGGATTATCCTTCTGAAGAAGGATAATAATACACAGTAATGTTAATTATAGCCAAACGGTAAAGGGAATCCTTTGGCAGGGAGAACAACGAAGGAAACAAACAAAATATGGTGTAAGCACAATATCTGTAGCTAGGTTGCAAAAATGTGATGTTTCACAAGTAATATTTTAGCTTTCAGTGCTATAAAACTAATAATCATAAGTCAATAAATATAATGGTCTCTCTGATGGCTGAAAGTTCAACAGAGATGAACAGGCTAGGAGACTATTCTCTTCTCTTACCTTAATTTTGCATTCTCCAGAGGCTGAGAAAAGTGGCTAGCCAAAACTATAAAATTACAGCACAGCTCTCCTCTATGACTATCAAATCTGTGTCCCTGAACTTTAGCTGAAATAAATACAGCATGATACAAACTTGAAGATAATATTTATTTCTCCTACTTTTAACTGTTTCCCCATGAGAAAGATTATCCTTTCTTTGTGGGGTGACCCCTATTTGTCAATGCCTCTCATACATGTGTCAAAATTTATGGGGCCTATAACCTGAACAGGAACTGGAGGGCTATGTTGGTAGAAAAGTCCCACAGAAAGAAATCCATGTTTACAATAGGAAGCTCTAGTTCTAAAGGTCCCCCTCCCCCCTTAACTTCTTCTTCCCTCCAGTTAAAAAGGGGCTTTCTTGCACTGTGTGCACATGGCTCACCGCAGCCACATGTACTAGACTGCAATCTTTTCTTTTCACTGAATATATCCTTTTTGGTGATGGAACACCTGGTTGGCTTTGGTTTACAGTTGGTACATGCTGTATGTGGTTTGCCTGAGACTGCTCCCACACCGCCCCCAATAACTGAAATTCAAAGCCTTGCCAATAAGCCTTGTTGATGTCATATCTTTTTTTTTTCTCCTAGCTTCCTATTTTCTCCCCATTTTGACTAAAATTGAGGAAAAAACCGACCACAATGTCTTGATAAAATAGTACACAAACTCATTTTCCATGCTATCTGATTAAGATTTGCCATCTCCCCTCTCTGTTTCAGACTGATGACAATCAGCGAAGTATTTCTGGAAAAAATTTTAAGAAGATAGTGAAGGGTAAAAATAAAATAGAAAAGAAATTTGTGTAGATCTATGTGCAATGGGGAACAATATTCTCTTCCTTTAGACCCTGATGGCCTGCCAAACTCTTATCTTTAAAATTAAACACTTTCATAATACTGAGTGTTTTTTTTTTTTTTTTTTTTTTTTTTTTTTTTTTTTTTTTTTTTTTTTTTATCCTCACCCGAGGACATTTTTCCATTTTTTGTTCAGGTAGAGTGGGAGGGAGAGAGAGGAACAGAGAGAGAGAGAGAAACATCGATGTGAAAGGGACACATCGAGTGGCTGCCACCCGCACAACCGACCAGGGCCGGGGACAAACTGCAGCCGAGGTACGTGCCCTTAGCGGGAACCGAACCTGGGTCTCTCAGGACCGCAGGCCGACGCTCTAACCGCTGAGCCAAACCGGCCAGGGCAATACTGAGTGTTTTTAAAAAATTAAATCTTTGTAGTTTCGGGCACGTATTCAGTTTAAAGGTTAGGAAAAAATAAAATGAGAAGAAACTCCAGCCTGGGCAATTATATTAATGACCATGTAATTTGAAAAGCTCAAGAGATGTGAGCCCTAGACAAAGAGAACTCAAGAGATCAACATCAACCTTAACAACAATTAAATGGATGAGAGAGAAACTGGCCACTTGTATTTCTAATACTTCTACCCACCAAGTGGTCTTAAGAACTTAAAAAAAAAAAATGTAGTTAAGAGGAAGATTCTCAAAATACTTCTACTTGGGAGAAAGTTTCCTAATTTATATTATTTATACCTATAATTCTTTCATTTTATGACTTATTTTTTGTCCTTTGCTGATCAGCTGAACTTTGCTCAAATCAACAGACAGTTTCACTGAAGGGTGAGGCACGGATTTCAATCACAATGACTGCTTTGCAATGCTAAAGGTATTTATTTGGCAGGAAACAATCTTCATGGGATGTTCTAGTGGGAACTTTAAAACTAAATAAACA